TTTTGGCTGCACTGAGCGGCATGCAGAGCTTCCCCGACCAGGGATCCAACCGACACCCCTGCCGTGGAAGCATGGAGTCTTAACCAGTGGACCACCAGGGAAGTCCTGTTTTTGTTTATTTAGGTATATCCTGATTTCTCCTTTTTTGAAGGATAGTTCTGCTGGATGTAGAATTCTTGGTTGACAGTGATTTTCTTTAAGCACTTTGAATATGTCATCCTACTGCTTTTTTTCCTCCATGGTTTCTGATGATCAGTAAACTGTCAATCTTTTATGTTATGAGTCACTTCTGTTTTGCTGACTTCAAGGTCCTCTCTTTGTCTTTGGTTTTGGTTATGATATGTAGTCTCTGAGTTTATCTGACATATAGTTTGTTGAACTTATTGGATATGTAGATTAATTTTTTATCAAATTTGGAAAAGTTTCAGTCATTATTTCTTTAAATAGTCTTTCCACCCCTTTTTCTCTCTCCTTTTGGGCCTCCCATATGCATATGTTGGCAAATTTGATCCATCCCACAGGTCCCTTTGGCTCTGCTCATTTTCCTCATTCTTTTTTCTTTCTGTTCGTTAGACTGGATAATCTCAATTGACCTTTCTTGAAGGTCACTAAGTCTTCCTTCTGCCTACTCAAATCTGCTGTTGAAACCCTCTAGTGAAATTTTCATTTCCGTTACTTTTCAACTCGAAAATATCTATTTGATTCCTTTTTATGGTTTCTGTCTGTTTATTGGTATTCTTTATTTGGTGAAACGTCATTCTCATACTCTCATTTAGCTCTTTAGACATGATCTCTAGCTCTTTGAACATGTTTGAAATAGGTGGTATAAAGTCCTTGTCAAGTAGGTCCAACTTCGTTCAGGTAGTCAGGGAGAGTTTTTATCCATTACTTTTTTCCTGTGTGTGGCTACCCTTTCCTGTTTCTTTGCATATCTTCTAATGTTTTTTGAAAACTGAACATTTAAAATAATGTGGCGACTCTGGAAATCAGATACTTCACTCCCCAGGGTTTGTTTTGTTGCTGCTTGTTGTTATTTGTTTATTTACAGAATTTGTTCAGAAAAGTCACTAAAGTAGAAGTTTCTACTCAGTTAGCTTAGTGGTCAGCTAATGATTGGACAGAGATTTCCTTAAATGCCTAGAACCAGTAAATCTCCCAGTGCTTGACAAGGGGCTCTATGTGCATGTTGGGACATACCTTCAGCACTCAGGCAGGCAATTTACAACTGTGCCTTAGCCTTCACTTCCTGCTTTGCAGCGCCTCAAAGTCAGCCAGAGGTGAGTGCCTGGTATTTCTCAAGTCTTTCCTGATCATGCACACAGCCCCTGTGCATGCATATGGTCTTTTAGATTCCCAGAAATACGTGAGAGCTTTTCTAATCCCCAGTGGATATCTCATTCCTCAACTTTTCCTTTTCAGCTTTTGGGTTGGTCTTTTGTTTGCCACAACTGTTATCCATCACCTTAAGCATCTGTGACATTAAGCGCTTGCCTTTAAATATTTTTGATAAATGCTCCCCAGGGAGCACTAGGCTTTGGAAGAAAGCTCCAGCTCCTTTCTGTTCCCTACATCACTGGCAATGTGGCCTGTTTTTTTTCAAGGCTATCACTGAGCTGGGGAGAAGTGGATGGGTCTAGGGCAAGTTAAAATGCCACAAAGCTCACTGCTTTTACTGAGATTCAGCGCTTTTTCTTAAATAAATGCTCTCCAGGTAGCTGTAAACCTTTGGTTAATTTCCAGAGTTCTGAAAAATTTTATTATGACAGTTTTTGCCAGTTTTTTCATTGTTTTAATTCAGAAGTGACGTTTTAGAAGTCCTTAACTTTGCCTTTTTTGTGGATTTCATCCATCATGACATACTAAATATTAGTTCAGTATGCATCTCTATGAAAATGACTTTTTCTTTCATAACCATAGTTCCATCATTTGACACCTAAGTAAAGTAACATTTACTTCCTAATATCATTTAATACCAAATCCTTATTCAAATTTCCTCCAGTTGTACCAAAAATAGCTTTTATAATTTGCTTATTTAAACCAGGATCTATTCAAGGACTACACATTTCATTTGGTTATTATAATCTCTTAATCTCATTCACTATTTAAAATTTTTTATTATGAGAATTTTCAAACATCCATAAATGTAGGAGAGTACACAAACACCCATATTCTCAATACTTAGATCCTACAGTTGTAATATTTTTCTGTATTTGCTTCATTATCTGTATCTGTCTGTCTATAGTTTTTACTGAGCTACTTCAAAGTACTTTACAAAGCTACTACAAAGTAACTGAGCTACTTCAAAGTACTTTACAAAGCTACTGCAAAGTAATACTTCAGTATCTCCTAAGAATAAGAATGTCCTCCTACATAACCACACTAACTTTGTTACACTTAACAGTTAATAATTCCCTGAGATCTTCTAATAAACCATTCTATGATCAGATTTTCTCAACTGTCCCTACAAAATGTCTTACATAGTTTTTTTTCCCCCCTAAATCCAGATCTAATCAAGGAGGTTAATTTTTTTCAGATTAAAACAACATGCTTATGTATTATACAGGTCAGGAATTTAGAAAGGACACAATGGGGACAACTTGTCTCTACTCCATGATGTCTGGGGCCTCAGCTGGGATAATTTGAAGGCTGGATGGCCAAGAGTTTGAATCATCTGAAGTCTCATTAACTCACATGTCTGGGGCCTGGGCTGGGTGGACTCAAAGACTAGAAGTACCAAGCAGAGTGCCAACATGTGACCTCTCCATGTGACTAGCTTCCTCACTGCCTGATGGCCTCAAGGCAATCAGACTTCTTATGTGGTTGCTCAGGGCTCTAAGTGTGAGTGTTCCAGGAAGCAGTGCAGAAACTAAAGTTGCCTTTTCTGACCTAGCCTCAGAAGTCATGCAGTGTCACTTCTGTCACATTCTATAGGCTACAAATGATCCTGCTTAGGTTCAACAGGAGGGAACATAGACCCCACCTATTAATAGGAAAAATGTCAAAGAATTTGGGGCCATGTTTTAAAGCCACCACACACACAAAACTATGGAGAACGATATAAAATATACCCAAGAATCCATGACTGAAAATTGTGCGTTAACTTTTTTGCTAGATTTGCTTCAGATCACTTTTTAAACAAGTAAAATATCAATATCACCTTTAAAGAAAGGACTTCAACCTCCTGAATTGCCTGTTCTAAAATCTGCATACTGCTTATACAGAAAGTCTCCTTTATAGCAATAACAATAGCTAACCAACCAAGGAATCTTTAAATCTAGGTCAGATACCACCACCACCTCTTTTTTTCCTGTAACATTGACTTTTTTCATTAATTAAAAAGAGTAAAATCCCGTACACTCACCAATGAGAATCAACAGTTGTAAAGATTTTGCCATATTTGATTCATCTATAACTTTCTTCTTTTTTTAAAAACTGTCTAAAGCAAATCCCAGATAGTGTCATTCCCTCCCCACCCCACCATGTACTTCAGTATGCATCTCTAAAGTATACATTTTCTCACATAACCACTGTCCTGTCATCATACATAACAAAATTAATAATAATTTGATAATTCCTTGATGTTATCTAATACTAAGTCCATAATCAAATTTCCTTAATTGTCTAACAAAAAAAGGCATTTTCGTAGTGGATTTGTTTAAATCAGGATCTGAACAGGGTCCATATGGCATTTGGCTGTCACGTTTTTTGAATATCTCTTAATCTAGAGAAATCCTTTTTTGTTTGATGCTGTTGATTTGTTATAAAAACTAGTATAATTGTCCTTTAGCACATCCCACCTTCTAGATTTGTTTGTTTGCTTCTTTGTGACATTGTGTTTTTAAAGAAACCAGGCCAGTTATCTTATAGGATGACTGTTTGCCCTCGGTGTCATTTAACTTTTTTTTTTTATTTCTGTTTCCTAAAAACTGGAAGTAATATGAACTGCTTACTTGATGTTAGGTCTTGGCAAAACTACTTCCCAGGTAATGCTGTAGATTTCCTATTGAATTGCATTAGGAGGTGCATGAAGTTGGCCATCTTTCTGTTAGTGACAATAAGGGGTGATCTCCTGATCTCATCATTGTAAGGTTAGTTTTTTTTTTCTCAAGACTAGCAAGTCATCTGTGAGATAATACTTTGGTACTGTGTGAATATCCAATTCCCTAGAATCAGTTATTTCATTAGGGCTTACAAACGTGTGATTTTCTAATTTTGTCATTCCTTTTACATTTATTAGCTGGCATTCGTCTGTAAAGAACAGCTTTCCCTCATCATCTGGGGCTGTTTGGTTATCCTGAAATACACTTCCTATGTAAAATGTGGGATGAGTAACTTTTTTGATTCAAGATTGTTAAGGCATTATATAAAAAGGTTATACAAGAAGGTGATCTTCTTTAGGAACTCATAGCCTGGTTATTAGATAGATTAACACACATCAGCATTAGGGAATGAGACAGGATAGTATGTGCTATGTATTAAGTGACTTGTACCTAAGTTCAGGGGAGGGGAGGGTTCAGTGTGAGCCAAAGAGGTCCTAGCCGTTTTGCACAGAAGATTGATTTCAGCTTACTTTTGAATAATGGACAGGTTTTAAAGAGGTGGAAAAAAGGGAAGAGGGTACTCCAGGCAGTGTAGATGATGAGGATGAAGGCACAGGGAGAGAGGATGAGCTGTACATGTTCTGGAGGTGTAATAAGGAAGCCATTCTGTCTGGAGAAGCTGAGGATATGGGAATGGAAATAAGGTTGGGGAGGTAGGTAGGGAGTAGAACATGGACAACTTTACATGCCAATTCAGGGAAATTAACTTTTATCTTTTAATCAGTGTGTGCTTTGTGTACCTTGGGCATTTGTGAATTAGCTTTTTACCCAATGGGAAGCAAAATCTGGCTTTGTAAAAAGCTCGAAGCAGGAAAACCAATGAGACCACCTTTGGGGGGCTCAGAGGTAGGGAATATGATTGTCATTCAGATAAATGTCTTCATTCTGTTCCTTCTGCAGCCCGTGTGACCCCAACTCTACCAAAGCAGGACCGTCCTGTGCGTGAGGGGACTCGGGTAGCTTCCATTGAGACAGGCTTGGCTGCAGCAGCTGCAAAGTTGGCCCAGCAGGTAAGTGCTGACACTCAGGCAATGGCCCTGCCACTGATTCCAGTTTGATTTGGAGCCTCAAAACTCAGACCTCCAGGCTGACAGGATCTTACCATTGTCTCATTGGGAAGTGGGTAACTTGTGATCTTTATCCATGGCAGTATCCCAGCTCCCTCCTATATCCTAGATATACCAACTCAGTGACAAGCTACTTCCACAGAGCACACCGTTGAAATGATTTAGGATGAAAGAAAATAGGGGGCCAGAGAAAAGCCCTTGAAAATATCACTTGCCTTTCTGGGTGTGTGAAAACCTCTCAGATGGGAAGGACCAAGTCTGTCCTTGGGTGAGAGCTCTTGTCTTCAGATGAAGCTCCAAGGAGGTGACTCAGTTGAGTACACTCAGTTTCTCAGTCTCTCATCTGTATCGGAATTTGGTTTTTTCGGAGAGAGGCTTTTCTTGTCCTCTGTACCAAATACTTTGCCTGATCTTCACCCCATGCTTCCCAAGAAAACTTCACCCACTAATTTTTGTCCTAGAATCAAGTTAACTTCCTAGCATGTTATAGTTTTCAAAGTTCTTAAATGTGCTTGGCAACCCTGAGAGCAGTTGGAAGTGAATCTTGTGGTTCTCTCCTTATCAGTATCCCCTTAGATCCTCATGCCACATCCTATAGCTTAGAGCATTTATTGAGCATCTGCTTTATGTTAGGTGCTTCCATGTGTCTCATGTAATCTGCTCAATAACCCTTTTCAATAGGTAATATTTTCATCATTTTACAGGTGAAGAAAATGAGGCTCTCTTTAAGTGACTAGTCCAGGATAATACAGCCAGTAAATGGAGGAGACAAGATTCAAACTCATATCCTCTAACTTCAGATTTCATGTTACTTACTATTAAAATAAAGTGAAATAGTTAAATGTTTATATAATTCAGTAATTACATCCTATTTAAATAAAATTTAATAGAATGATGTTTTTCATATGATGTTCTGTGGAGTTCCAGAGTTTAGAAATGTTTTGGAGGCTATTGATGGAAGCCAGCAGAGACCAACCAGTACAGGCGGCCATTCTTTGTCCAGAACTTTTCTCTATTATGTATATCCTAGTGCCATGTAAGATGTAATTTGTAAAAAAAGGAAGTTTGACTGCTTTAAATGAACAAATTAATTAAAGGTTTGAAAACTACTCTTAGTGCCTTCTGTGGAGCTCACTTCTGTGGAGTTGATCAGAGATGACCTCAAAGAAGAGATTTGAAATTGGGAAGGGTTTTGCAGGCTAAGCTTTTGGAGGGGAAAGGGAGGCATTCCAGGAGAAGGGGATTCCTTCGTAAGCACACAAGGCCCTCTTGATTTGCCCTCTGGTTACCTCTCCTCCCTGACCTTGTGTCAACCCTTCATGCATGCCCTTTACACCACTCATACTATTGCATTACGGTACTCATTGTTCATTCAATGTATCAGACTGTCTCATGCCTCTGTGCCTTTGCACAAACCGTTCCCTCTGCCCATTGGGAATCATGCCCTCTCAGATGCCTTTACCTAACACCCCTTCACACCATCCACCACCAGTTTATTTCAGTGGCCTTCTGTGCTTCCATAGCATTCTCATGGTACTTACAATCATAAGTGTACTTTTCTTTGTTCCTTATTAAACTGTAAGGGCCTCAAGGGTGAAGACATATCTAATTTGACTTGGTATCCCTACTATGTTAAGCATGTGTTTAGTCATTGTTGGTTGAGTGAATGAATGAATGAATAAAAGAATGAACAGATCTTTTTGGATTGGAGGCTTCTTGTTGGGGAATGGAGTAAGATAAATAGAGGTTAAAAAATGAATTCTGGAGCCAGCCTGCCTGAGTTCAAATCTTCTCCCTCCCACTTGAGCAAGTTACTTAATTTCTCTGTGCCTCAGTTTCCTCATAGACTCTGTCTGAGGATTAGATGAGGTAATATATGTAAAAGCTCTGAGAACAGCACTTGCCACACGGTAAGTACTGTAGACACATTAGCTTTTCATCATTATCACTACAGGTTGGCTAGGTATAAGTGGCCAGACGATGGATGACCATAAATGTCAGGCCAGGGAGTCTGAACTTGGGTGGGGACTTGCTGATGGCCTTTTGAGATAAGGTGAAAGTGGCCCTGTCATAAGATAGTCTAGTCTTCTGTGGGGGGGATCTGGATGATGTATATGAAAGGGAGATTGGCAACAAAGGTAGAAAATTTTAAACTATGTGATCTAGGTATGAAGAGATAATTTCTGGATTCAGATGAGAGAAATGGGGGCAGAAATGCAGTTCTTGGTATGGATGGAGTAACAAGTATTTTGGCTGATAAAAGAGACTCTGAAGACAGATGGCTTGGGTCTGAATCGCAGCTTGGCCACTTACTGTTCCTATAACCTTAGGAAAGTGACTTAACCTCTCTGTGCCAGTTTCTTCTCATAAAAATGGAATTATAATTCTTTTTTTCTCATGCTTCATAGGAGTATTAAATGAGTTAAATTATAGAACAGTGCCTGGCATATATTACTAATATTATTATTCTCGTCCCACAAAAATTCCTAAGGTAGCCACAGCCTGTCAGATCTTCCGAAGGCAGGAGTAGGCCTGTGTTGCCAAGAGAAGGCAAAGAAATGTAATCACTGAGTTGGTCTCTGTGGCTGTGTAGCATTTCAGAAGGTGAAGTCGTTCACATGCTCTCAGCACCACCTTTCCAGGTTCTCAGGGGTCCAGGTGCCCACTATAAAGGTACCCACTACACAGTGGATAGTATATTCATAGAGCAATGGATGGATGAAATCCAAGATATTGTGAGAAGTGACACAACTCCTTATTCATCCCTCCCATCCAAAACTGAGATTTTAAGATCCAGTGACCTGGAAGACTGTCCTCTATTAAAAGAAAAGACCAGCAAGAAGAAGAGAAACCATTGTAAGAGATGAAGATAGAATAATAGTTTCTCATTTGTTGAGTACCTACTATGTGCTATGTGTTTTATGTCATTATTTAATCTTTCCAGCACCCCTGAAAACCAGCTATTGTTTTGCCCATTTTACAGATGAGGCAATTGAATTTCAGAAAGGTTAGTAACTTGACCAAGGTCATCCAACTTAGGGAGTACAAGCCTAGATTTGAACCCAAGTTTATCTCATTCCAAAGCTGCTACTCTTTCACTCGCAGATGTCCCATTTTGAGAATTGTGCAGGGTGGGTGTTCACATAGACCTAGTTGAATCCTGAACCCAACAACTGTTCAGCTGTGAGGCTTTGGGCTCATGTTTCTTAATATCCCTGTACCTCAGTTTTCTCATCTGTAAACTGAGGGATTTTCCTTCTCAGGGCTGTTCTAAGGAGTAAATGAGGTCAAACATATAAAGTGCCTCAGCTGCTGGTGTAAATTTAGCTATTATTATTAGTCATGTCCATGGTTCACCTCATAAGTGGCAATTCTAGGACCAAAACCCAAGTCTCTGAACTCATTTACCCTTCTGTTGCCACTGTACTGGTTAGTAGCAGTGTTGACTTAAGAATGGTTGATACCAAAGGACCTGAGGTATTGGAAGGCCTGTGTGTTGTGTGTACATATATCCAGGCTAAGCTTGGAGTAGGGGCAGGTTGTAGAACCACACTGACCACCGTCTAGATTCCTTTCTGGGAAATTTTCTTCTCTTTTCTTCACTCCTAAATTCTCCCCTCCCATTTGGCTTGTGTTTCAGGAGCTACAGAAGGCCCAAAAGAAGAAATATATCAAGAAGAAGCCTTTGTTGAAGGAGGTAGAACAGCCTCGCCCTCAAGAGCCTAATCTCAGCGTGGCAGTACCAGGCCCAACTCTGGCCACTACACCCCAACTTCTCACCTCCTCCTCACCCCTGCCTCCCCCTGAGCCTAAACAAGAGGCCCTCTCAGGAAGTCTTGCTGACCATGAGTATACTGCTCGTCCCAACGCCTTTGGCATGGCCCAGGCAAACCGCAGCACCACACCCATGGCCCCTGGTGTCTTCTTGACCCAGCGGCGCCCTTCAGTTGGCTCCCAGAGCAATCAAACAGGACCAGGTATGACTGCCATATGGTTGTAGAACTGAGAAGGATCTTAGAGTCACTGGCTTCAAACCCTTAAGCATTCTGGTAAATGAGAACACCTGGGAGGGACAGTGATGGGCAACCTAAGATACTTGGACTTGACCTCATAGGCCATGAAGAGACATTGACTAGTGTTAAGCAGAGACAAACCCAGATGTGGGTTTGGGAAGATCCTTCCGGTAGGCCAGAGTGGAGGGTGGGTTGAAGGTGGGAAGTCTAGGAAGGAGGCACATACACAAGTCCAGGCTGCAGTGAAGAGAGGCTAGGGCTCTGGCAGAGGGAATGAAGGAGGGGATAAATTGATCAAATATGGAGGAGGTCACATGGGACACGTGATTGATGTGGTGATGTGGTGATGAGGTGATTTGATGTGGGGAAAGAGGAAGCGGGGAGGGCTCAAGCCCTCCTTTTCCTCACTTTGGCTCTGAAAGCCCAGTCCCTAGAGTACGCAGCTCAAGGGTGATGAGATTGGTGCGGCATTGGGATGTTGAGGATGGGGTTTCTAATGAAACAAGGCCCTGGGAGTGGCAACTTCAGGGACACTGAGCTATAATCACTAACCAGGCACTTGTTCAATCCTGGTGGGCAGGATAAGAAGATGGAGAGGCACAATCACCTTGCAGAAGTTAGGAAGGAAAATGATTGGGACCAAAGAAATCAGTGGGGAAAAGTAACCAGACAGAGTAACCAGGGAGTCTGTAGCCACTGCAGGAGGTCATAGGAGGAAGAGCCAAAGCATGTGGTGTTGGATTGGAGTAGTTAAGGAGGGCCTCTTGGCCCAAGATGGTCCTGGAGCCAGGCATAAGGATGGGGAGACTGTGGGCAGAGGAACAGAGGAGGGGGGTGGCCCAAGGACAGTTGGTGCTGGAGCTGCTGCTGGCACCCTTGCCATACCCTTTGCTTACCTCTCCCTTCCCCCACAGGAAAGCGTCCCAAAAAGGGCCTGGCTACAGCAAAGCAGAGACTCGGCCGTATCCTGAAAATCCACAGAAATGGCAAACTGCTTCTGTGATCCCCTTTGTGTCCTACCCCTCACCCCTTCACCCCCACTGCCTTCTCCGTTGTCAATTCTCGGGGCACTCCTGGATCCTGCCTGCCCCGGACAAGGTGCTGAGGCGCATTGTCCTGCTTTCTTGGAACTGACCAAAGGCACGGACTCTCCCATGGGCCCCTTCACCTACTCCCTCAACTCCCTTCCCCACTTCCACTGGAGCATCCTGCCTGCCTTTTGCATATCTCTGAGTAGCCAGTAAATGGGAGAGGTTTCCAGCTGACTAGAGCCCTCTTTTCTGCTGCCCCAATCCATTTCCCTTTCACCAGCTTTGTCTGCCCTTTACTGTCATCCCCACTTAAAGCTGGAAAGCAGGACGAGGAGAGGCATGAGGAGAGCCTGGGCCCCTCGGTATTTCCCTGGTCATGAAGTGGGAGGCCCAGTGCTCAACACTTTCTGTGGCTCCATCCCTGTCTCCAGAAGCCTGTCCACCTCTGCCCATTCTCCTGCCTCCTCTTAGCCCAATGGATGTGTCCCACTCAAGACTCGTTCCTGGGAGAAGGCTCTGGCCTCTGCCCCCTCTTGCCAAATGCTTCATGGAAATAAAGAGGAGGGCCCAGAGTCTTCTTGCTGCGCCACCGTGGGCCATTTCCAGAGTGGCCTAGAAAGGCCATGGGCTGACTTCATTCATCCTCGGGAGGAAGAGAGATTCCTGTCACTTCTCAAGGTGGGGAGAGGACCAACACCCAAGACTTTGACCGAGACTTTGTAGCCCATTGGAGGAAACTACTTTTGGGTGGCTACAGACGAAGCCACCTCTCCCAGGGTGAGCTCCAGGGATTTGCCTAGAGTTTGAGGTCCTGCAGAACATTATCCACATAGCTTTGGCTGGGCCCCAGGATGCAAAAACCATCTCCCAAACGCCTTGAAAGCATCTGCCACTGAAGCAGATAGCCCTTGCTCTACGGCCTGATCCCTTCACCCGTACCACAGAGCACAGCCTGGACCTTCTGGAGAGGATGTGGCAGGACAGCTCACCCCAGGTTCTCCATCAGGAGCCTCCCTGCTTCTCTCCCCACCTTGAGGTCTTGGTCTGAAGAAGACTTCAGAACTCACATCTTCACTCCTGGACCTTTACACTCCCAGATGTCAGGTGGACGCTCAAACAGAGTGCTGATGTGGGGGGAGCCCGAGCCTAGGAGCGGAGATGCCCACCTGTAAAGGAGCAGATCATCTGAACCTCCCACCCCCTCTTCCCTTTGTGAATGTTTCTATTGTCCAGACAGTGCCCACCCCCTCCCTCACCCTCCCCCAGCTCCCTCCACCTCCCACCTGTCTTGCCTCCCTGGTGACCTGGACTGGATGGAGAATGTCTCCCTCTCTCCATTTCGGCACTGCCCAAGTGGAGTGCTTCATTGTCTTCTACCCCCCACTTTAACTTCACCTCAGTTTTCTCAGTGCTTCTGGGGAACTTAACAGCTACTGTGCAGGCCACAGGGAATATGTGAGGCTTCCCTGGTTGTCTTCGTGTCTCCAGTTTGTCTTTCTTTTCTCCACAGCCCATCTACTCTCCTTCCTTGGAATCAGGGGTCCCTTAGCCCCATTTCCTTTTCCTATCTTGGGGGCCCCAGGGGCCAAGCAGTCCTCTATCTATTCACACCAAAGGCAAAAAAGCCTGGCTACCTCCCCCTTAGCACGTGAGGTTCCCACTCCCCTTCCCTCTGTTTCTGCCCAGCTTTGCTTTTCTTGGGGATTTCAAAGCAACAGAGGGTAGTGAGGGGAGGGAAGGAGGGCAGCCTGTGTCCCTGTGTAGGCAACTGCCTGACTAGGCCCTGACTGCTGTAACCAAGACCAGGACCCCAGCCCTTCTGCCCATTAACACCCCCCTCCCCTTGATCCTTCAAAGGCAGCTAAATTGCTAGCATATCCCCCCTGGTTCCAGGCCTCTTTCCCTTCTGTTTCTTTGTTAAAAGTTTTGTGGAGCTGAAACCCAACCTCCATTTGACTGGGTTTCTGTTTAATTTAGTTGGGCTCTCAGAGCTGGCTGTTTGTTGTTTTGTGTTTTAAATGAAAAGCAAGTTTACCCTCAGATTTACGCTTTTCCAAAGAGGCTAGTGTGCTTTTTTTTTTTTTTTTTAATGTTTCAGGTTCTAAGTGAAGTGAGTTGGGGAGGGGTTGGGAGTGGTTGTAACCAAGGTTTAGAACATGATGAGAGAGTTACCTCTGGTCTCCAATCCCCAGCACAGAGCTGGGGCTTGGATAGGGGGCAGGGAGAGAGGATTTCTATTCACCTTTAATATATTTTTACAAAAGAGCAATTTAAAAACAAGCCCACCGCTTCTGTACATGTCTAAATATATTTTTAGAAGTGGGTAGGATTGTGAATTTCTGATGCAGGGCCTTTTTATAAACAGGTTAGAATAGCATCATACAGACTTCTCTGTTGGTTTTTTTCCCCTGTTTTTTTCTTATGTTGTGTTACTAATGTAATTTATATATTTTTTTTAGATCCTCCCTTTCCTATAGAGATAAAAGTGATTTATCTTGGCAATTGCTTTGCTCAGCATTCTTTTTTTTTTTGGTGGTGGTGGGAGTGGTGGGGTGTTGGGGTCCAGGAGTACTGCCTTCTCTTTACATTCTGTCTCTCTCATCAACTCACCTCTTCCCTAGTGCACAGCCTTATGCCTGAGGTGGGGAGGGGACAGGATCCCTGCCCTCACAAGAGACACAGTTCACACACCAAAAACAGTCAAAAGTATAGTGAGCAGAAAAGAAGGGGGTGCAACAATTCAAAGGGGCCTGACAAGTTTGTTGGGAAGGCTTTCCATGGCTTCCATGGGCAGTTTTTACTGACTATACCTGTATCCTCTTTCTGTGAATGTGAAGTTGTGGGGTTTTATTTTTTCTTCCCCTTCTCTCTCTCTCTCTCTGACATGTTTCTCCAAGCTGAACTTGATTACTGTGTTTAGGGCCAGTGCAAGGGATATAATTATTAGAGCTAGCATATCATGCTCATTTCCTTGTGCCAGATACTGCTCTTAGTGTTCTATGTATATTGATTCATTTCATCATCACCAGTATCCTCATGCTACTGATGAGGAAACAGGCAAAGGAAACTTCCGGCATCACACATCATACGTTGTGGAGCCAACCTGGTTCCACAGTCTGTGTTCTTATTACTCTGTTCTAGCACCTCTCACTGATAACCACTACCATTTAAGTGCCTCTTCTGTGCCAGGTGTTGGGCTAGGGATTTTACCTAGGATATGTCATTTAATTCTCACTGACAACCCCAGGAGATAGTTACTAGCCCTATTTTACAGTGAAGGAGACTGAAGCTTGCCACTGGCCTTCCACAACAGGATCTCCCTGATGCCAAAATTCATGTTCTTTCCTCTCATCATGTTAGAAAAATTTCAGCAGCTCAATGACCCAACAGAAGTTTATTGAGCACTTGTGTGCAAGACGTAGCATTGAGAGTTGTGTCCTGAGGAGAGCCCTTGGGGTGATGTCAGAAGCCTCAGTTCCAAATTTACCACCACCTGGACTCTGTGACCGACAGCAGGCTGCTTACTGTCTGAGGGTCACTGTAAAAGAAGTTTGAACCCAATCAGGATTTCTTCATCCTGGAGATTTTGCTTCTGTAGGCTCTGGGGTGAGGCTGGCTGGGTTTGGCACCTACCGGCTAAATGACCTCCTCCAGCTCTCCCAATGTGAATCTTGGTATTGGGCAGGATTTGGATAGAGAAGCTTCTTGTCTGGGGCATGGGGGAACTGTGTCTCCTGGTAGAGAGGCAACAGGGAAGAGAGGAGGGATTTTAGAGTCCTTGCAGGAATGGTGGGCTGGGTTCTCTCTGTCACCAACTCCCACCCCACCCTTTCCAGTAAGGGACCAAAGCATTGTCACCAGCCTCAGGTTAGAGGAGAAGCTAGAGTCTTGGTCACCTTACTCATTTATGCAGGAGGTATCAGCAGATGAGAGGCTTCTGTCTAACAAATGGAAGGAGAACAAGAACACCCAACTTCAGTCTTCTCTCTTTTCAATATGGAGTGGGAAAGTGCATAGGACTTGTCACTAAGAGCCTGCCTTCTCAATGATTAACCAAGTAATTTGGGGGAGATTGCTTGTCTTGATATCAGATGGAATGATCTCACCTATGGAGCCCTCTAATGCATGGTCACTCCTAAACTTTCTGGATGCTGTTAATTCCCATACTGAATCCTCTAGCCCTGACCTGTCCTGAGTACACATCACACACACTTCTGCTTGCCTGTATTGTGTTCCCTGCCTCAAGTACACAAGCTCCTCCCTTTCCATCAGGACCCCGTTCACACCCAGTTGACTGAAATGGCACTTGTCTCCAGTAAGCTGAGTGGAGGAGAAGAGCACCATATGGTACAATGTGATGATAGAGACAAGCACAGGATGCTGGTCAGGGAATCTGTCCCAGGGAAGCTGGGAGTTCAGACAAGGCTTCCTGTCAGGGGTGGTGTTTGAGCTGAAGGATGAAAATTAATTAGCCAGTCAGGCAGAGAACAGTGGGAAGAGTATTCCAAACAAAGGCAATAGCATGAATAAAAACAGAAGTGGAGGCAAAAAGAAAAATCCATGTGCATATAGAGGACAGGCAATTTAGTATAACTGCAGCTGTAACTTTCATCTGGGGGAACATATGCAGAGTCTCCAAGAAGGAATGTATAGTTTGAGAAGGCATATGATCCAAATTGATTAGTTTTTAGGCACAATATTTATTTTAAAACCTCAGATAATGGAGGATATGTAATTTGATGTTTGTCAAAAGACATAGCTGTATCCCACGAATGACAGAGAATCATTAAAGGGGTTTAAGCAGAAAATGGCATGATCCAACTTGCTTTTTAAAAAGATCCCCTTGCCAGTCATAGGAGTGGATTAGGAGGGAGAGAGATGAAGATAGGGAGATGAGTGAGGAAGTTACTGAAAGAGGGATGGGGAGGGCACCATCTTATCTTCCAATGCCCCATCAAATGCCACTTCCCTAAGGAAGTCTTCACCCAACTCTGCAGTCGATTCTGACCTTTTCTTGACTTCTACATCTCATAAAGGGTGGATATTCCAGGCCATTTTCAGGAGGCATAACCATGGAGTCAGCCACTTATACAACCCAAGTGATAGAAGTTGCACCCCTCTATCCCCATTTTCAGCTTTTTAACTCTCAAGAAAGCTCTCCTTTCCTATAGGACCACAACATAATGCCAGCACTCACCAATGAATGTGATAAGAGAGATACAATACCCATTTTATATTTTCCTTGTCAGGAGTCCAGCAAGCCTCCATCACATTCCATTCCATTCTATCATACCGAGCCTTTCAGGGTTATCTCCCCAAAGTCCTCTCTTCATCATCTCTTCCTGCATAAAAACATCCATGGCTTCCCACTGCTTATTACACCTTCTGGGTTTCAAGGCTTTTCAAACCTGGCCCAACCTGGAGACAATGGGCTGTGGTGGAAGGAGGATGTACCTGGGAGCTGAGAAAACCAATGACTCGATTCCAACTCTGCCACCTATGGGATTTTGAGCTGGCTACTTCATGTTTCCTTGACTCAGTTTAATCATCTATAACATGAAGATACAATTCCTACCTCATAGTATTGTTGGGAGGAATTATATCAGTGTCATTAAAGAACTTAATTCTATGACGAGCACTCAGGTCATTGGTAAATCTAGTTTAATTTTCACCTGTTAAAATTTGCCCAACAAGGCCTGTAATCTTATAAAGATTACAGAGAAAGTAAGCCTTTAAAGGAATCAGAATATTTCAACCTGGGGTGGGAAATCAAGTTGGCTTCATGAGGAACATGTTTGAAGGACATAGAAAGATAGCTGAGTCAATAGGTGTGGTGAGCCTTACACTCTGTAGAGGAAATACAACTAAATCTATGACACAAAGTTGCTGGAAGGTGCCAGAGTATCATCCATGCCAGTTCAATATCATTAGTTCAGTTCTACAATGGTTTATCAAAGCTTATTTTGTGTCAGGCCCTGTGCATGCCTTTGGAGGACTTAATCCTAAGGAACATGTGGTTTAGTACACAGACATGGAAACCCAAGTACAGCAATACTAGGATAAATACTGTTACAAATAAGTATAGGGTGCTATGGGAGCATGAAGGAAGGAGACCAAACCCAGTGTGAGGAGCAGGAAAGTCTTCTAGGAAGAAACAACACCTGAGTTGACTATTGAAGGGCAATTCACCAGGCAAGGGAAGGCAGAAGGATGAGTTGGAATAGAGCATTACAAGCAAAAGGAACAGCATAAGCAAAAGTAGAAAATCAAAGCAGCCTGGTTTGTGGGTGGAACTACAAGACTTTGAGTTGAGTTGGTGTACTGGGGTGAGATGGCAAATGTTGGGAGATGAAGCTGAAGAGGTTGGCAGGAACGCAATCATGAAGGTCTGATTTATGTTTCAGAACGTTCTTTCTGGCGATCCTTGGGGTGGGGAGAGACAAAAGCGGGTTAGTGTGGAGGCCAGTGTGAGGGTGGTTGCAAGATTCCAATTAAGATGCAGTGAGGTCTAAACCAGGGCAGTGACTATGAAGATACTAGAGATGTTAACCCACACCTCCCTTTTTTATTTCCCTGATATTTTACTATGAACATTTTCAAGAATTCAGAAAATCAAAGTAATTATACAGTGAATACCCATATATTTACCATCTAGATTCTACATCAGTGTTTTACTACACTTGCTTTGTCAAATATATCTATCTATTCATCTATCAACCCATCTTATTTTTTATGCATTTCAAAATTTGATACCTGTAACCCATTCTCTTAAACACTTCTGCATGCATGCCATAAACTAGAGTTCAATATATGTTTGTGATTCTTTTTTAGCTAAAATATTCACACAATGAATACAACTTTCACATACTTTAAGAGTATAATTTCATGTTTTCATAAATGTATATACCTGTGTAACCCACACCCCTATCAAGACACAGAACATTACCATCCATCCAGAAAGTTCCCAGATGTCTCTTTCCAATCACAGCCCTTCTTCCTGCCACAGTAGGCCTTGAGTTTGAAAGGGTAGGATTTGAAAATAGATGATCCAGGAGGAGAGTCTGGGTGGCTTCCCTTTTCAGCAAAGTCATGAAGGCAGGTAGCCATGGGGTATACACAAGCATTAGTAAACAAGCTTGGATGGATGGATGCCTTTCAACCTCCCTCCTCTACCCCTCCTGAGCCTCATCTTTATGGGTCAATTCATGAAATGGTGAGGCAGAGAGGAATTGAGTCAAGGGACTGCTGGGCCCTCAGGAACTAACAATCTTGTGGGGGAGACAGAGAGAAACACGGTCATAATTCCATGTGACAGATGTTGAATGTTGCATTGTACCAGGGTCAGTGCTATAACAGAGGAAAGAGTGGAAAGTGAGATAAAACAACACAGAAGTTCCACAAGGGTTTGGGGTGTGTGTGGGTGGGGGGAAGGAGGAGAGATAAAGCGAGTGGCTCAGACTCTTGGGAGGGACTGGAGGAGCTCAAAGGAAAAAGGGAGGAAGAGCATTTAGGAGCCATGAAAATGTACCTGGAGGTGAAAGGACTTAAATCTTGAATGATGTTGACTTTGATTATATGTGTGGTAGACACAAAGATATTTTAAGTTGCAAGTAACAGAAAATGCAAGTCAAGCATGGGACATTGGCTTATGTAATTGAAAAGCCTAAAAGTATGTGGATTTTAGGCACAGTTTAATCAGAGCTTTCGTATGTGTTAGCTTTGTCTTCAGGATATTTCTTCATGGTTAAAAGATGGCTTCACACAACAGCAAAAGAAAACATCAAAACAAAACGAAAAGACAACCTACGGAATGGGAGAAAATATTTGCAAATGATATGACAGATAAGGGCTTAATCTCCAAAATATACAAACAGCTCATACAACTCAAGAGCAACAACAAAACCAAACAACTAGGGACTTCCCTGGTGGCACAGTGGTTAAGAATCAGCCTGCCAAGGCAGGGACATGGGTTCGAGCCCTGGTCCAGGAAGATCCCACATGATGTGGGGCAACTAAGCCCATGTGCCACAACTACTGAGCCTGCACTCTACAGCCCATGAGCCACAGCTACTGAGCCCACGTGCCACAACTACTGAAGCCCACACACCTAGAGCCTGTGCTCTGCAACAAGAGGAGCCACCGCAATAAGAAGCCTGTGCACCACAATGAAGAGTAGCCCCTACTTGCTGCAACTAGAGAAAGCCCACATGCAGCAACAAAGACCCAACATAGACAAAAATAAAATTAAAAACAACAACAACAAAAAACAACCCAATTGAGAAATGGGCAGAAGAACTTAATAGACATTTCTCCAAAGAAGACATACAGATGGCCAGTATGCACATGAAAATATGCTCAACATTACTAACTATTAGAGAAATAGAGAAATCAAGACTACAATGAGATACCACCTCACACCGGTCAGAATGGCCATCATTAAAATGTCTAAAAATCACAAATGCTGGAGAAGGTGTGGAGAAAAGGAAACCCTCCTACACTGTTGTTGGGAATGTAAGTTGGTGCAGCCACTATGGAGAACAGTATGGATGTTCCTTAAAAAGCTAAAAAGAGGGTTACCATATGACCCAGCAATCCCACTCCTGGGCATATACCCAGACAAAACTATAATTCAAAAAGATACATACACCCCTATGTTCATAGCAGCACTATTCACAGTAGCCAAGACATGGAAACCACCTAAATGTCCATTGACAGATGAATGGATAAAGAAGATGTGGTACATATATACAAAAAAGAATGAAATAATGCCATTTGCAGCAACATGGATGGACCTAGAGATTATCATACTAAGTAAGTGAGAAAGAGAAAGACAAATGCCATATGATATCACTTATATGTAGAATCTAAAATATGGCACAAATGAACCTATCTACAAAACAGAAACAGACTCACAGGGCTTCCCTGGTGGCACAGTGGTTAAGAATCTGCCTGCCAATGCAGGAGACACCGGTTCAAGCCCTGGTCCGGGAAGATCCCACATGCTGTGGAGAAACTGAGCCCGTGTGCCACGACTATTGAGCCATTCCATTGCTCTAGAGCCCTCGAGCCACAACTACTGAGCCTGCGTGCCACAACTACTGAAGCCCGCATGCCTAAAGCCCATGCTCTGCAACTAGAGAAAGCCCATGCACAGTGATGAAGACCCAATGCAGCCAAAAATAAATAAATAAATGTATTTAAAAATACCCCCCCACCCACACACACAGACTCACAGACATAGAGAACTTGTGGTTGCCAAGGGGGAGTGAGGTAGGGGAGGGAAGAACTGGGAGTTTGGGATTAATTAAAAAAAAACAGATGGCTGCACACAACACAGTGCTTCCACTTGTGCTCATTTGTCATCTTATACATTCTCTTTGGTGAAGTGCCTGTTGAAGTCTTTTGATTTTTTTTTATTGGGTTGTTTGTTTTCTTGCTATTGAGCTTTGAGAGCTTTTTATATATGTAGGATACAAATTCTTTGTTGGATATGTGATTTGCAAATATTTTCTCCCAGTCTGTAGCTTGTCTTTTTATTCTCTTATCAGTATCTTTTGCTGAGCAAGTGTTTAATTTTGATAAATTCCAATTTTATTTATTTTATGGATCATCATGTTTAAGAGTTATTTGACTAACCCTAGGTCATGAAATTTTTCTCCTATGTTAACCTTCTAAAAGTTTTGTGTTTTACATTTAGATCTATGATCCATTTTGAGATACTTTTTGTATACTGTAAGAGGTTTCGGTCAAGGTTCTTTTTCTGCCCATAAGGTGTTCAATTGTACCAACATCACTTGTTGAAAAAAGTGTCTCTGTTGAATTGCTTTTGTCCCTTTGTCAAAAATCAGGTAGCCGTACTTGTGTGGGTCTATTTCTGTCATGTCTAGTCTGTCCCATTAATCTTAGGCTTCTATACTTCCACCAATACCACACTGTTTTGATTGTAGCTATATAGTAACTCTTAATATCAAATAGAGTTATTCCTCCCACTCCATTCTTCTTTTTCAAAATGGTTGAGCTATTCTAGGGCCTGTGCCTTTTCATATAAATTTTAGAATAAGCTTTTCTGTGCCTACACATACCTTGCTGGTATTTTGAAAGAAATTGCATTGAATCTATAGACCAATTTGGAGAGAACTGACATGTTGAGGGTTTTTTAATATTTTTAGATTTTTATATAATTTTAAATTGAAGTATAATAAGTATAATATACATAAATAGAAGGGCACAAATTCAAAATGTACAGATTAAGGAATTGTCATAAAGTGAACACATCCCTGTAATCATTACCCAGTTCAAGAAATATAATGAGTAGCACCCAGGAGATTGTGTCTTAACACAAAAGAGATAAGAGATGAGCTCTTGAGATGAAGAGTCCCTTAAAGAGCTATACCCTCAAGGAAAAGGATGAGAAAATAGCCTTCCTACTGGCATAAGGACACAATGAGGCAGCTTGTCTGTCTTGACTTGGGCTTTGGATGGGGGACAACTTTTTCTTAACTGTGTAACTGAGCTTCACATGTGTTTGTGGTTCAAGCCCATACTACTTACATGGGCTGAGAACCTACAACTTGTAAAATTAACAGAAAACCTGATCTCTCTGGGGGATCTGACAAAAGCAAACACCAAACCTCAGTATGAACATGCTTGCAAGCCAGGCTGAACAGGAATTTCATAGATAAAACCCAGTTGAATGTGAACAAAATAATCCACAATAAGCAATAGTCATCAAACAACAAACAGTAGGATTAAACCTTTATGAACTTCAGATAATTGAAGAATCTAAGAGTTAATTACGTTAAATTTGATTAAGAACATAAAAGAAGAAATAAAAAATATAAAAGAACAAAGCACTATTTTTAAAAAGAGGCAGATTTGAAAAAAGAACTAAAGCTGACTTCTAGAAATGAAAAATGCAGTAATTGAAAATTAAAACTCAGTGAATGAGTTAAACAGATTAGATACTGTTGAAGAGATCATTTAATTGGAACACAGATCTTCGGAAATTACTCAGCAGATAGCAACATAGAGTTAAAGAGAGAAAAAAGAGGCTAGGATATATGGAGGACAGAATGAGAAGGTCTTACAAAGGAGTAATTGGAGTTGCAGAAGGAATAAATAGGTGGGAAAGAGGGGAAAGGTAATATACAACTGCCAACTCAACATTTTCACTTGGAAATATATCCAAAATGTAACGCCTGATCTTCCCTCCTCAAAACTGTTTCTCTCCTGGTCTCCCTCATATTAGTAGATGGCAACTTCATCCTTTCAGTTTCTTAAGCCAAAAACCTTAGGGAGTCCTTGATTCACCTCTTTCACACCCCATATTGGCTTTCCTTCAAAGTATTTCCAAAATCTGACCACTTTTCACCATCTCCACTGCTACCACCTTGGCCAGAACCATCATCATTTCTCACCTGGAAAATTACAATAGCCTCCTAACCCATCTCACTGTTTCCTCCATTGCTTCTCTATAATCTAATTTCAACATGGTATCAAGGGAGATCTTTTTAAAAATATAAGTCAGAGACTTCCACTTGAGGGAAGATGGAGAAGACATACTTTTCTCTGTTCCATCCACTAAATACAACTTGGGTATTACATATAAACAAACACAAGACTTTGAAAGGCAGAGAGAAGGCAAATCAGCTAAGGGCATTGGCACCTGAGAAACAGCACAGTGATAAGTTCCTTGGTTTGTTTGTGTTTTGTTTTGTTTTGCCTCATACATCCAGACTGGATACTGGAGAAGCTGGCAATCCACAAACACCAACAGATGCAGACAGAAAAAGATCCAAGAAAAGCCTGCTT